CCTTGCTTCCCCTCTTCCCTCCTCCCTTGCTTCCTCCTTCCCTCCTCCCTTGCTTCCCTCTTCCCTCCTCTTGCTTCCTCTCTTCCCTCCTCCCTTGCTTCCTCTCTTCCCTCCTCCCTTGCTTCCTCTCTTCCCTCCTCCCTTGCTTCCCTCTTCCCTCCTCCCTTGCTTCCTCTCTTCCCTCCTCCCTTGCTTCCCCTCTTCCCTCCTCCCTTGCTTCCCCTCTTCCCTCCTCCCTTGCTTCCCCTCTTCCCTCCTCCCTTGCTTCCTCTCTTCCCTCCTCCCTTGCTTCCTCTCTTCCCTCCTCCCTTGCTTCCTCTCTTCCCTCCTCCCTTGCTTCCTCTTTCCCTCCTCCCTTGCTTCCCTCTTCCCTCCTCCCTTGCTTCCTCTCTTCCCTCCTCCCTTGCTTCCTCTCTTCCCTCCTCCCTTGCTTCCTCTCTTCCCTCCTCCCTTGCTTCCTCTCTTCCCTCCTCCATTGCTTCCTCTCTTCCCTCCTCCCTTGCTTCCCTCTTCCCTCCTCCCTTGCTTCCTCTCTTCCCTCCTCCCTTGCTTCCCTCTTCCCTCCTCCCTTGCTTCCCCTCTTCCCTCCTCCCTTGCTTCCTCTCTTCCCTCCTCCCTTGCTTCCTCTCTTCCCTCCTCCCTTGCTTCCTCTCTTCCCTCCTCCCTTGCTTCCCCTCTTCCCTTGCTTTCCCTCTGCTTTCCCTCTTCCCTCCCCCGTTGCTTCCCCTTATTCCTCCTCTCAATGTTATTGCTCTCACCGTTTCCTCTCACTGCTGTTCCTCTCACGCATCTCACCTTGCTCGTTCCTTCCCAGCCCCTTCCCCCGCCAGCCCATCTTCAGCAGCAGCTGGAACCCCACGTTGCTGCACGCGATGGGCTTGTCCAACGAAGCCATCTCCAGCCCTCCTCTGCACATTCCCCTCCGCTGTGTACCGCACTATTCCTCCTGCTTCCCCAGCAGTGTGACTTTCATCTCTCACTCAGTCACTCCCCTCACCTTTCTTCCCCCCCATCCCTCTCCCCTAGCTCCCCCTCATGCCTGCTCTCACCTTGCTCGTTCCGCCCCAGTCCCTTCCCCCGCCACCCCATCTTCAGCAGCAGCTGGAACCCCACGTTGCTGCACGCGATTGGCTTGTCCAACGACGCCATCTCCAGCCCCTCGCGGTCCAGATTCTCCGTGATCCGATGGTCGATCGGCAGCCGGAACTCATCTCCATCGTCCGGAGACTGCCACGTGGCGAACGGGGAGTGGGTGGAAAGACGGGGGAGGAGAGGGCTGGTGAAGAAAGAGGGGAGAGAGAGGGAGTGAGAAGCGGGGAAGGAAAGGGGAGGAGGGAAGGAAGAAGATAAGTGGCGGCAGAGGAGGAAGAGCAGAGACACGCGGAGAAGATGAGGGATGATGACAAGGAGCGTGGCGAGCAGGAAGGATGAGGGGAAGAGGTGAGAAGGGGGATGACGAGCATGTGCGACTAATCAACAGGTAAACGGCGTTGACTGCTCCGTGGGTCTTGTTCCCTTTCCAAAGGTCCAGTCAGGATGTATTCCGTTACCTGCATTTATATCGCTTGCAAGCCAAGAACGCTCGCAAACGAGAGTAGCTGCAAAAGTAACACGCGTGTACGACGAACTCGAACCTCGGCTTTGAAATATTTTGACGAAACTAAGCCCTGAAACTGATTTCTTCTTGCACGTCGACGGCGACGATGTGAGATGGCCAAGAAGACAAATTCACGGTTTGTAGATTCCCTGTTGATTTCAGGAGGAATTGCTAGTGAAGGAAGCCTCGTTTCAAGTCTACTAGTTACCGTTGGGTGAAAATTCTGGATGAAGCTATTTCTCGTTTTGCTGGTTTGCTTGGCTGATGAGGCTGTGTGTGGAACAGATCAGCATCGACTGATCGGCTAACGGAAGCCCAGCGAAAATGAGACGACGTAAGCGATGAGAGCTTCAGAATCCATCCTCTCGCCCGCTTCGCTCTGTCGCTTCACAACTGGGATGTAACCAGCCTTGATGTGGTAGCCACCTGTTTTTTGCGATGCGAAGTGGAAAAGCCAAACAAATCGTCGTCGCCAGAGCCTGCGTAACCTTCGTGAACCTCAAAACTTCGCTCCGTGTTGAGGAGATGTTCGCGCCTAGGGTTCAGCTTACTCCGTACGTTTACGTTTCGACAGGCTCCTTAGGTGATCGCGATTCGATCAGCTCCTTAGGTCACGAACTAACTATTATTTTTTAGGCAGAGGTAGGTACGTTGGCAGCACGCTACCGATTCTCAATGCGAAGTATACGGTAGTTCACGCCTTTCCGCAACGATCAGCCTCATTTCACCATCTCGACTGCTACGATCACAACCTAACCGCATTACCATTTACCAGAATGTCACGACGATAGCTGGCGGTAACGGATCGACATACTACTTCTAGACAGTACCCGGCTTAGCTGTAACTCTTTGAGTGAGAAGAAAAGGGCGAGCTTTGCCGTAGTAGTAGTAGTAACCACTGAGTGCGAAGAATTACTACTTGAAAGGCGAGCGTCGCGGCAGTTGACGATGGCGCGACAGGTTTCGCGCGATCGGCGCGTATCAGACAAGGACGAGAAGGAGAGCACGGCGGCTTCAGGAGGGTCCGATTCGAAGCGGCGACAACGAGCGGGCGCGGGGAGGCGGCACGAGGCGGAGACTCCTCCCCTGGGAAAGATCGTGGTGGCTTTCCTCCTGACTGCCCTCGTCGCAGCGCTGTGCGCGGTCGTCGTGTATTACACGCAAGATCGCATGGTCAACGCTGGTGAGTTTCGATTTCTGGGACGTCTAAAAAGCGCAGTGCACGGTGGTGGTATATTACACGCAGGATTGCATGGTATGCGGGTGAGTCGCTGTGCTCTCGCATGGTCAACGCTGGTGAGTCGCGGCAAAGAGCGGACGCCGCCGGGCGGCGGAATGAGGGCGGATACCCCTCCCCTGCGAAGAATCGTGGTGGCTTTCCTCCTCACGACCCTCGTCGCAGCGCTGTGCGCGGTCGTCGTGTATTTCACGCAGGACCACATGGTCAACGCTGGTGAGTCTCGATTTTGGGGATGTCTCGAAATCGCTGTGCGCGGTGGGTATTACACGCAGGATCGCATGGTCAACGCTAGTGACTCACCGTGCTCTTGCATGGTCAACACTGGTGAGTCGCCGTGAGTCGCCATGCTCTCGCATGGTCAACACTGGTGAGTCGCCGTGAGTCGCCTTGCTCTCGCATGGTCAACACTGGTGAGTCGCCGTGAGTCGCCGTGCTCTCGCATGGTCAACACTGGTGAGTCGCCGTGAGTCGCCGTGCTCTCGCATGGTCAACACTGGTGAGTCGCCGTGAGTCGCCGTGCTCTCGCATGGTCAACACTGGTGAGTTGCCGTGAGTCGCCGTGCTCTCGCATGGTCAACACTGGTGAGTTGCCGTGAGTCGCCGTGCTCTCGCATGGTCAACACTGGTGAGTCACCACGTGCTCGCCTGGTCGATGTCGTCGTGCTCGCCACCTCCTTTCCCCCCTCTGACGAGCTTTGCTTCTCTCCGATGCGGCTGCAATGCATGGCGAATTCTGGTACGAAATGTTTCGTGTATCGTCCATTTGAGCTCAATGCCGCTGGGATTCATGGTGAGGGCAGATGTGTGGTGAGGGAAGGAGATTATTGTTATGGGATGCTGTCATGAAAATTGTGTTGTGATATTGTGATGTTGTGACTGAATATAGTGGTGAAATTTTGTGTGCCATGCTATGAAGGACTATTGCGATGCAATCTTGTGATTGTGAAGGGAGAAGATGGAAAGCAGGAGGAGGAGGGAGGGTGGGAGGAATATTGTCATTAGGAAGGGAGTGAGGAAGACAGAAGAGAGGAGGAAGCAAACACAAGTGTTGCTCTCGAGGCCAGAGAGGGAGGAAGGGAGGAACGGAGGGCGGATGAGGATTTCGGAATGAGGGAGGAGCCATGAGTGTGCAGCGGGGTGTAATATTGCGAGGCGGAAGAAAAATATATGATGATTGGTTGGTGTAGCAGGCTAGAGCGGTGAAGAACGAGTGAACTATGGGACTTAGGGTGGAAGTTTTGATGGGAATCCTTCAGTTGAGGAGGGAACAACAAAATACTGTTGTTTTTTTTGGGAAGTGGGGGAGGGGGGTTTGTTTGCTGCTGCTTGATCCCTTGTCCTCTCAACCGATTTCTGCTCTTCCCTTCCTCCCGTGTTCCAGTTGCGTTACAAGGTTACAAACTTCATATGCTGTACAACAATTACACTGTTGCAGCCAAGAGAAGTATCAATATGATCCTTGGTCTCCCCATGCCAATAGATTGAACAGCAAGCTGCTGTGTCGCATCATCGCTGTCATCGCATCGCCTCTGCATATCGCATTGTCTCTGCCATCGCACCATCTCTGCCATCGCACCATCTCTGCCATCGCACCATCTCTGCATATCACATCATCTCTGCATATCACATCATCTCTGCATATCACATCATCTCTGCATATCACATCATCTCTGCATATCACATCATCTCTGCATATCACATCATCTCTGCATATCACATCATCTCTGCATATCACATCATCTCTGCATATCACATCATCTCTGCATATCACATCATCTCTGCATATCACATCATCTCTGCATATCACATCATCTCTGCATATCGCATCGCTGCTGCCATCGTATTCCCCATCTTCCTGCCAGCGCTTGCTACTCTTATCCGCCCCTTCTCGAACATCTGCTGCTCCCGCTACACCTGCCCTTTGCGTCAGCGGTGCTGATAGTGATCATGTGGCGGCAAAAAGTTAATGATTTATCAAAACGGTTGCTGGGGCCTGCCACTGGAGATGATGCTGGTTGTGATTCTGCGTTTTAGTTGACAAATGATACCAGATGTAGGTGACAAACTAGATACCAGAGTCCAAACACTAGAGTCTAGGAATAACTTCCATTCTATCTCAATCAACGGCTACGAAATCATGGGAACAGAAAATTGTAAGCACATCAAAAGTAATGCTGCTTATTCCATCAAGGAAAAGCACGAAATGTTCCCATCCACCTCAGCCCACCCAGCACTGTTTGGATATTCTCAATTTATTTCCCATTCATCGTGACAAATCCTCTCCTGGATTTGTTTTTTTGCCTAGTCGCACTTGGACCTGCACTTCTTGGCCTTGCGCTTGCACTTCTTATAGTCGTCAGTGCACTCCTCGTGCTCCTCCTTGTCGTCCTTGTACTTGCGCTTGCACTTGGTGTAGTCCGTGTTGCACTTCTTGTTCTTCTGCTCGCACTTCTGCTTGCAGCTGTGCAGCATGCGATGGGCCTGCGGAGACCACAAGAAACGCCTGCTTCCGCCGAAGAGCTTGCTCAGGAAACCTGCTAACACAAAACGCAACGAAAAGCATGTCAATACAGAAAAACATATGGCAGCCGTGAGGTTACTCATGGGAGCTCGGCAGAAATGGCGGCATACGGCGCGGCAAAAGGTTTGTGCTTGGGGCTGCTCGGAGCTGGTAGACTCACCGGACTCCGACGCGGCATAAATTTCAGTGTCGTCATCAACGTCGGCGTCGAAAGAATCGTCTTCCGCGACTATCTCATCCGCGCGACAGAGCGGCGCGAGCGCGAGGGACACAACCAGGGAGAGCGCGAGTAGGATGAGAAAAAACTTGGAACGCCCCATGGCTGGATGAGAGAAGGCTCGGAGCGCAGTTGCTATAAAGTGGGGATGAAAAGCTTCGAATGCTTTACCCGAACTGAAGGAATTTGAGTATTGGGGGCCCACCCTTTGTACCGAATTCGGATGAGGCAAGGCAATGCTTACTCTGGTCTATACCGAGGCGGGACTTTGGCTACGGGACGGCTCGGCTAGGCGGCTGCGAGGCGGTTCGGGGCGGGGAGGGTGTACGTACAGTGGTTACGGTTACGGAGGAGCTAAAGCTGGCCGGTTGCGATTCGAGGTTCCATCGCGGATGAATTTTCGCTGAGAGGTCGGGTATGACGTGGCTGAAATTGCAGGTGATTGGCTGGACTTAGATAGGTGTGATTTCTGTGTAGGTGGGGATTGGTGGGCATCGAAAGCATATTCCAGATGGCAAACTGCCAACCTTTTCGTGCTCGAAATGGGCTCGCGAAACGTTACTCCCAATGTCGAAGAGGGTCTCTCGCTGAAATGGAATGAAATGGTGGAGCTGTAAATCAACAGGCCGCCAAAAGCAGCGCGCCCTGCAGTCCTGGTTCTTGCCCCCTTCTTCAACGCTCCTCCTCGATAATGCGAGGTGGACAAGCGCGCACCAATGGGAATCGCTGCCCAGCAGGCGGCGCCCCGAACATCAATAGAGGTCAAGAATGGGAAGTAGTACACAGTCATTTTCTGTACAATGTATTCCAATACAAGAGGTGTAGAAAAAATACAGTAACTTTTGGCTCTCACTAACGGATATGTGTTATAATCGTGTAGATCTTAAACGTGCTGGCAAAAAATGCTTCGCCCAAAACACTCGCTCCCACAGGACAAAAAATTATAGCTACTTCATTTTATCCGTGAATGAACTTCAATTCCGCCAGAGACATTTTCGGCTACACACACGCATATATTTTCATAAAAGGTCCCCTTTCATGAAACGTAATGTTAGAGCACAAACTTCTAAAGGTTTCTGTATAACGCGCCTCGGCGGCTTGGATCAGATGTGGCGCCTGACACACTGACAACCTACCTTAGGGCTTGTCCCACGAGTTCATTTGGTGAGATTTTTTTTTTCGACGTAACTTCGAATCAGCAAGGTTTGTACACTCAGACGAAATAAAAAAACGCAGCATGTCAGCATAGCGCCAAACGAAATTGTACCACGCGGACTCATAGCCCCGCACACACAAAACTCGTCATCCAATTCAATTTGGAGACGGTGCGAGCGGTAACCCGCCCCAGTTGCGAACAAACACGGGACTCCTTGCGACGTTTAATACTTTCGCACGACTAACTGTTTGGGTAACGGATTGCAGGACGCGTTCTGCTTGCTCGCACGGACCATGGCAGCGGTATTCGCACGATGATATTACGAACCTCAGGACGTCCACAGCGCGTCATTCTGGCGCGTCATTGAAGACGCATGTCTACAAATGCGTATTTCCACGGGTTACAAACTGAAAACAGAGTTCTAATGCTCAGCTTGAACCTCACCCAGGTTCTCGCCATTTGCAAAAGCACAAATACTATCCGTCGCACTTCTTTGAGACCCGTGACAGATCGTCATAGTGGGGGAGTAGTGTTCAAAACCACACTTAACCGCTCTAAAACCACTCAAAGCGAATTCCATTAACGGCCTCGGGCGGGATCATCAACCTTTCCCTGCCATGGTCCTGTGCAGATCCGTGGAGTCTAGCTTGAACTACCATCGTTTCTAGATACCTTTCATTCGGACGTGAAGGCAAAGACCACTCGTACTGACAGTTCATCCTCGTTCCTTTCGTTTCGTTACCTTTGGTAGTCCCAACAGACATTTTTTAGGTTGAGGCGTTACGGACTTTCAACCACAGATTGGCTCGAATTTTACACAACATGGCGTCAGCCATCGTAGACGAGAAGCTGCTTCGTTTCGGTCAGGCCCTCGAGTCTGTCATCGATGCGGAGATTGAGAAGATAGAAACGGACGACATTCAACAACTAAGAGAGCGACGGCTCAAGGAGCTCAAGCAACAGGCACAGAAGAAGCAGGAGTGGCTAGCAGCCGGACATGGACACTATAAGGAGCTTTCATCAGAAAAGGAGTTCTTTAGTGAAGTCAAAACCTCGGACAACGTTGTCTGTCACTTCTTCCGAAGCAGCCGGCCATGTCAGGTTCGTTTCTATACGTTCGAGAGGAGGTGCTTTATCAAACATCTCGCTTAATTACTCTCGTTTTTCCTTTCGACGTTTCCTGAGTCGACTCTACATTCGCCTCATCTTTTCACAGATCATGGACAAGCACCTTGAGATCTTGGCGAGAGAGCATTTAGAAGCCAAGTTCCTCAAGATCAACGCGGAGAAGAGCCCGTACCTGGCCGAGAAACTGCGTATATTCATGCTTCCGACGCTGGCCATGGTTCACAAAGGCAAAGTCACAGGATACGTTGTAAGTGACCTGCTATTCGTTTTTTTCCTGACATTTTTTCTTTTGAAATGATTTGGTTGCATCAGGTCATGATGTGTTATTTTCCCGCCAAACGCAGGTTGGATTTGACGAGCTTGGCGGAACTGAAGATTTTCCCACAGAAGTTCTTGAGACTCGGCTCGTCCTTAGTGGAGCGCTTTCCGAGGAAAAGCTGTCTGGCGGTCGTCGTCACTCCAAGCAGACAGCCGCTACCGTGAGAAGAGGCGGTGACACAGGCAGCGATGATGATGATTACTAATCTATTTCTTTGCGATCCCTAACGTGATTTACAAGCTACACCATCTAGCCAATGCTAGTTCGTTTTTCAGAAGAGAATGGCAGGTGGTAGGCCAAGCGTTGTATTCTAGTTTTTTATCTACAGTCACTCCACAGGCTGGAATTCCCATTGGCGCTATCTACCGTAGATAGTTCTACGGGGCTTGTGAGTCTATGTAACAGGATGATTGAATAACCCAGGGCGATTGGAGGCTGCAGGTGGAAGAAGTACCAGTTACTGACTACCTAAAATAAGATGCAGTACAGTAGATCTTTTGTTGCTTTACCACAGTAGATAACCAAGTAACGCCTGGTCATGCCTATGAGTGTGGTGTGTACGAGTCCCACTGGTTCACTCCAGGCGGTGCTACAGTAGTATCAGGTGCAACATACGGTATGGTCGGCAGCACCGGGAACAACCCCTCCTGCTCCTGCGCATAGTTGTACTGCTGAGCTGGCGGCTGATAATGATGAAACGTGCTGTACTGGTTCTGATGCGCTGGGTATGGTTGGTTATAGTACTCATTACTGTAGGTGTAGGTTGGATGTTGTTGGTAGTCCGGTTGAGGGGGCACTTGCTGCTGGTAATCCACATGGGCGTACTGCTGAGGCTGCTGCTGTTGCTGCTGCTGATACCCACTGTAGCTCCCTACTATGCCTCTAGGATCGGAGACGGCCGGCTGGGATGCGCTAGTGTAGAAACGAGCGAACGGATTTGATGCTCCCTGTTGTTGCTGCTGCAGCTGCGGTTGCTGCTGGGGTTGCTGCTCTTGTTGCTGCTGGTGTTGTAGTTGGCTTGTGAGAGGGGGAGAGCGGAAGACGGAGGGGGACTGAAGCTGTGAGGACGACTGAACAGCCGAGGGAGACTGAAGGCCTGAAGGCGATTGCAGCCGAGACGGCGTTTGAGCACTGGAGAGAGGGGACTGTAACGGAGCTGCTCTTAAAGAGGCAGGCGGTCGGGCAGACGGTCGAGAATGAGGCCGCTGCTTGTGCTGGGACCCGCTCGGCGCTGCTGCTGCTTCTGTTGCTGTTGCTCCTGCTACTGCTCCAGTTGCAGATCTTCCCCTGGCCAAATGAGCAGTAGCAGCAGCAGATATCGAGGGAGTCACCCATTGCACGTCTGGTGGGGAAGGCGACGCAAAGTCGCCACTCACCCCTCCCCCTCCTCCCCTCCCTCCCGATGCCACTCCTACTGGCGCTGCGGATGCTCCCCCAGTGCGGCCCTCTCCCACCCCTTCTGACGCCAGGCCCAGGTTCAGCTGAAACGCACCACTCTCCGCCCTGCCTCTCGCGCCCTCCCAGGTCCCACCATCTCTCCCTCCCCCTGCTGCTCCTCCTGCTGATTCTCTCCCAAATCCCCTTCCTCTCTCCTCCACTCCACCTCCTTCTCCTCCCCTTCCTCCTGCCCCCGCTCCTCCTGCCCCTGCACCATCTGTCTCAAGGAGAAAATCGGTGATGAAATCAAGGGTGGGGGTGTTGACTCTAGAAACCCCACTAGCATCAGCATCAGCACCAGCACCACCAGCACCAGCACCAGCACCAGCAGCACCAGCACCAGCAGCACCAACACCACCAGCAGCAGCAGCGCCATACGTGTCTGCTCTCTCAACTGCACCATAGGAGCGGTTGAATGTGCTCGTTGGCTCGGCCCTCCGGTCGTCCCTCCACACATCCAGCAATGTGTTCACATCTGCTCTCTGCCCCTCATACCGCTGCTGCTGCCCCTGCACCTGCTGCCCCGGCTGCTGCTGTTGCACCCGCCCCTGCTGTCCCTGCTGCCCCTTCTGCTGCAGGGGTTGATCAGAGCTACTGGGTACGGCCCTTCCCACAGCAGCATTCGTTGCTGGTAACTCCTCCTCCCCCTCACTATCACTCAGATTGATCGGATTGTCCTCCCCTCCCCGATCCCCAAACCAGTTCGCCCCACTCCCCCCACGCACTCCTGCCCCTGCCCCCACACCCCCACTCCCCCCAACTCCCCTCCCTCCCACTCCTCCCACTCTCCCGTGACTCGCCTCTCTCCCGCGCCCACTGTTTCGATTGCCCAGAGACGACCGGTCTTCATGCCCTGACTCTGCCGTCTGTGCTGCTCCCACACTCGACGCCCCCCTTGCATCCACCTCTGCCCCGTTCCTCCCTGCTACAGCCGCTCCTGCCGCTACTGCTGCTACAGCCGCTCCTGCTGCTCCAGCTGCGCCCATGCCTGCTTGCACTGCTCCTGATGCCCCTGGCCATCCTGCTAGCGCTGCAGCTGCTGAGAACTCTCCATTGCCGTGGCCACTGAATCCACGTTGCTCTCCTGTACCCCCTCTCGTTGTGTTCCCTCCAAAGCCCAGAGTCAAACCAACGTCTTCTCCTGCCAGTGTAGGCCCGTTACCCCCCCCTCCTCCTCCTGCTCTGCCTGTGTCTGCTCCTGCTTCTACTCCTCTTCCTATTGGCCATCTGGTGCGCTGTCTCTTGGGAGTGTGCACGTTAATGGGGGGAGAAAATGTACCAGCAGCACCGGCAGCGCCACCAGCACCCCCATCAGTACCATCTCCGAGCAATTCAATCACCACTGGCTGCTGCTGCTGCTGCTGCTGAAAGGAAAGGCAACTGCTGCTGCTGATAATACTGCTGCTGCTGATAATACTGCTGCTGCTGAAACTGTCCCGACTGCTGCAGCTGCGGCTGCTGCAGAGCCTGCCTGCAATCCACCTCACTCCCTCCCGCCTCATCCTTCCCCATCCACCTCCCCCTTTTCACCCGGGATTCACCAGACAGCAAATCCCACGCCGCTCCTGACCGCGTCCCACTCGTCACATCATCTGCCGTATCCCCTTGCCCCTCCACCATCCCATTCCCATTCTCCCCCACTCCCACCCCCACCTCGGCCTCCACTCCTGTCTCCCTCTTCACCTGCCCTGCAGGCACGCGCACGTCTCGCCAGGGAAGGGCGACGGCAGCGGCGGCAGGAGTTGACTTGGCTGACTTGCCTGCGTTGGTAGTTTTCCACGCAGGCATAAAAGAAAGAAACGAGAGCCGATATGAGAGGAGTTGCACTTCAATTGAGAGAAAGAAAAGAAAGAAAGTTAAAAACTGCTGCAGCTGCGGCGGCAACAGCAGGCGCTGACTTGGTTGACTTGCCTGCTTTGGAGGTGCCATGCAGCGACTCTAGCTTGGGCCGCCACGTGCCGTCCGCCCTCAGTTGAATGTCAGTCACGTCACTGTCATACTGAGCCATCTGAGGATAAGGGAAGGGTAGATATGAGCACGAATCGAACTCAAACATGTTTGATCAAACCTTTTCGAACCTTGCATGTTGGTCGAACCGAACCGAACTGGTTTGCTCGAACTTTTTTTTCAGAATTTTGAGGTTTGAGTATTTAAAGACGAACCATAAAGGTTTGCTCAAACCTTAAAAGGTTTGAGCGAACTCGAACCTTTTTAGGTTTGGGGTTAAAAACGGAATGCTTGGTCCAATACTTGAGGAACGGTATCTCTGGAAATTAAATAAGGCGCATTTTTCTGTCAACCCTAACAAAAAAGTAAACGTAGTGTCCTCCCTGAGTTGAATGTCAGTGACGTCACTGTCATATCAAGCCATCTGTGGGGGGGGGGGGGAGGAAGAGGAGAGGCGAGGGGAGGCGGGTGTGGGATGAAAAAGCTGGAAGTGAGCTCCTTGAGCTGTCACATGCCGCCGCCCTGAGTTGAATGTCAGTGGCAAAACTATCGTATTGAGCCATCTGGGCGGGGGGAGGGGGACGAAAGGGTGAGGGGGAAGCGTTGAACGAGGGGAGAAGGGGGGGAGTGGAGGGGAGGCGGACGAGAGGTGAGAGCTGAGAAGCTCCTTGATGTGCCACGTGCCATCTCCTCTCAGTTGAAAGTCAGTGACGTCACTGTCATACTGAGCCATCTGGGGGGGAGGAGGAGGGGAGAAGGAGGTGTGTTGAAGAGGGGAGTGGAGGGGAGGCGGGTGAGAGCCGCTTGAGGCGCCACTTGCCATCCGCCCTGAGATGAATGTCAGTGACATCACTGTCGTACTGAGCCATCTGGAGGGGAGAAGGAGGTGCGTGGAGGGGAGGCGGGATAGAGTTCTTTGAGGCGCCACTTGCCATCCGCCCTGAGTTGAATGTCAGTGACATCACTGTCGTACTGAGCCATCTGGAGGGGAGAAGGAGGTGCGTGGAGGGGAGGCGGGATAGAGTTCTTTGAGGCGCCACTTGCCATCCCCCCTGAGATGAATGTCAGTGACATCACTGTCGTACTGAGCCATCTGGAGGGGAGAAGGAGGTGCGTGGAGGGGAGGCGGGATAGAGTTCTTTGAGGCGCCACTTGCCATCCGCCCTGAGTTGAATGTCAGTGACATCACTGTCGTACTGAGCCATCTGGAGGGGAGAAGGAGGTGCGTGGAGGGGAGGCGGGATAGAGTTCTTTGAGGCGCCACTTGCCATCCGCCCTGAGATGAATGTCAGTGACATCACTGTCGTACTGAGCCATCTGGAGGGGAGAAGGAGGTGCGTGGAGGGGAGGCGGGATAGAGTTCTTTGAGGCGCCACTTGCCATCCGCCCTGAGATGAATGTCAGTGACATCACTGTCGTACTGAGCCATCTGGAGGGGAGAAGGAGGTGCGTGGAGGGGAGGCGGGATAGAGTTCTTTGCGGCGCCACTTGCCATCCGCCCTGAGTTGAATGTCAGTGACGTCACTGTCGTCCTGGGCCATTTGGAGGGGGGAGTGGAGGGGAAAAAGGGGGACAGAGGGGAGGGGCAGAGTAGGCGGGGTAGCACCAAACAATGTGGCGTCCGCCCTGAGTTGAATGACTTTTGAGTCGACTCAAAGTTGAAAGTCAGTGACGTCACTGTTGCCTGGGGCCACCTGGGGGGGAAGGGGAGAGGGGGAAGGGGAAGGGTGGGAGAGAGGAGGGGGGAATGGGAAGGGGATGACAATTTGTACATCATTTCTCGGGAGGAGGCAAGGGCACGTTTGTACACCTCGTGGCCAAACATGCCCACTGAGAAAAGGCGAGTGAGGAGGGCAGCAAGCGGGGGGAGAGAGGGGGGGGAGATGGGGTGCAGGAAGAGGGAGATTGGATGCACCTCTTGGTAGACACGGTGAAAGGGTTGATGAGCGAGTGGGGTGGGACACGCGATGAGGTTGGGTTGGGAGGGGGAACGCACCTCTTTAGTCAGGAGGGGGTGGGAAGGGCGACACAGCTGGCGTGGTGGAGGAAGGGGTCCATGACGAGTAAGAAGAGAGCGTAGAGCTAGAGCGGGCCCCAATGAGGTGCCATGCACGTGGCATGGCAGCAACTGATGTACGTGGAGTAAAGGTGTTTGCTTGAGGGAACGCACCTTCAAGAGACGATTGGACGGCTGAAGAAGCTCGAGTGGTTGGTGATCTGTGATTGTCCAAAGGTATCGAAGCTTCTAAAGTCGTTTCCTAATTTGCCCAGCCTACGGCGTTGCTCACTTGGTAATTGTTTCGAATCGTCATCTTTTCCATATAACTTAAAAAAAATAAAAATCTCTCCCTATAATATCTTCGCCTTAGTAATTTGCAAAATCTTCGCAGCATCCCTGCTTCATTCCAAGACTTGCCTCGACTAAAATGGCTATAAGTGAGGTATTGTGAGGTGTCTCACTTCCAGCCACTCATGTCGAGACAAGTCTTGGAACAAGGCAGAGAGGGTGTGAAGATTCTGCAAATTATTAAGACTAAGATACTGTAGTAAGAAAACTGTTCCAAAGTTATATGGAAGAGATGACGAGTCGAAGCAGTTACCAAGTGAGCAACACCGTAGGTTGAGCAGATTAGAAAACGACTCTGGAAGCTTCGATACGTTTGGACAATCACAGATCACCAATTACTCGAGCTCCTTCAGCCTTCCAAACGTCCCTGACACGTGTCAAGGCAGCAACTGATGTGCGTGGCAGCAAGTGATGTGCGTGTCAGCAAGTGATGTGCGTGTCAGCAAGTGATGTACGTGGCAGCAAGTGACGTATGTGGCAGCAAGTGACGTACGTGGCAGCAAGTGATGTGTGTGTCAGCAAGCGATGTACGTGGCAGCAAGTGATGCACGTGGCTGCAAGTGATGTACGTGGCAACAAGTGATGTACGTGGCAACTGGTGTGCGTGGCAGCAACTGGTGTGCGTGGCAGCAACTGGTGTGCGTGGCAGCAACTGGTGTGCGGGACAGCAACTGGTGTGCATGGCAGCAACTGGTGTGCGTGGTAGCAACTGATGTGCGTGGCAGCAACTGATGTGTGTAATAGCAACTGATATACGTGGTGTACAGGTGTTTGCTTGAGGGAGCGCACCTCCCAAAGACGATTGGACGGCTGAAGAAGCTGGAATGATTGGTGATCTATTTGTGTCCAAAGGTAACGAAGCTTCGATACTTTTGGACAATAACAGATCACCAACCACTCGAGCTTCTTCAGCCATCCGAACGTCCCTGTCATGTGGCACGGCATCAACTGATGTATGTGGAAGCAATCGATGTATGTGGTGTATAGGTGTTTGCTTGAAGGAACGCACCTCCTCACAGACTCGGTGGAAGAAGGGGTCGATGATGAGTGAGTCGAGTGTGTAGAGCTTCATGCACACGGGACACTGCCACTGAGGGGAGCAGAGGAGAGAAGTGGGGGGGACAAAGGGCGCAAGGCAGAGGGGAGGAGTGGAGTGAACTACGGTGGAGGGTCGATGGTGAATCACACTATTGAATCGCATTGACACTCGCCCCTCAAAAAAATCACACCTGCGCACCTCAACTCTCAACGTACCTTGCGAGCGCGTTGGTTAATCTCAATGAATGTGTGCAGGTCGAAGCACCCCATGTGCGCACACTCCCTGAACCGCCCCGCCTCGCGAATGCGCGAGCCGCTCATCTGGGGCAGAGGGGGAGGAGGGTGTGAGAGAAATCGACCAAAATAATCAACCAGCCTCCGAAATTAAGTGGGGAAGAGGGGAGGCGGATGTGATAGTAGGCAGTCATCTGAAGTAGCGAAGGATTGAGGCAGATGCAACTGCAGTCAGTTGGGATGGGAGGACAGTCCAGCCTTGCTGCAAAGCCACTCATCTGTCGTAGAGCAGGAGGGGGGTGTGTGTTTGCACAAGCACACTCACAGGGCAGCGCAGGTTGAGAGTGACACGGTCCTGCATCACAATCAAATCAGGTCGCTGCTGCTGCTGCTGTTGCCAGCCAACATGCCAACCTGCTGTTGCTGCTGCTGCTGGTGCTGCTGTTGCAAGCAGCACACTACACCGACTGACCTGCCACCAACCCAGCGAACTCACAGGGCAGCGCAGGTTGAGAGTCACATGGTCCTGCATCACAATCAGGTCGCTGCTGCTGCTGCTATCCGAAGATACTGCTGGTTTCGCCCCACCCCCACCCCGCCCACCACCACCACCTGCACCACCACCACCACCGCCTGACCCTCCTTTCCCCCCACCCCCTCCGCCCCCTCCTCCCACGCAGCGCTTCACTCGAGCGAGAGCGGATTCAAGCGACTCCCCCACGTCCACAGGAGGCATCATGGCCATCACCTGGTGGTGTGAGAGGTGAGGGGGGTGAAGGGGAAAAGGCAAGGGCGCTGCTTCAGGCGTGCTGAAGCAGATAACTGATTCGAGTGAGAGGGAAGTCGAGTAACTCCCCCACGTCCACAGGAGGAATGGTCATCAACTGATGGAATGGGGGGTGGGGGATGATGAGGGGACGGGGGAAGACGGAACAAGGGACGGGGCGAGCGTAGTGAAGATGGGGCGCTAAGGTGCTGAAACCAAAGCGCTTCACTCGAGCAAGGGCGGACTTGAGTGACTCCCCCACGCCCAGAGAGAGAGAGACACTGCCATTGCCACACAGGGGCAAGGGATGTGCCACAGCTGTTGATAACAACCCACGCCCCTGTATCTTCACCACACATCACCTCCCATCAAAGCACGCCCAAACGTGCCACCGCACCGCACACCACCGAACATCACCACATTTCACCGCACGCATGCACCTCAGCGAAGAATCGCTGCAGATGATGTGCGCGTCGATGCAAGGAACAGCCACTGCTGTTGAGAACAACCAATCACCGCACATCACCGCACACCATACCACATCATCACACTTCACTATGCCACCAACCATGACCGCACATCACTGCACGCACCTCGTCGAACGATCGCTTGCGGATGATGCGCACACCAATGCAGAAGGGGCGCTTGTCAATTGCAGCCATGGCCACGTGGTTGTCCCCTGCATGGCATGCCTCCGCTATCTGGGGAGGCAAGGCAGCATGGGAGCAGGAGAGGCAAGTCGAGAAAAGACAGGCAAGGCATACTGGGTCGCATCACCCGTTGGTTTCCAACAGCATCAGAGTGGCAAGGCAGCATGCGAGCAGGAGAGGCAGCATGAGAGAGCAAAGAGGCATGTGTAGGCTGCAGGGAAGTGCGCAAGGCAGGCAAGGGTCAAGGCAGGCAAGGGCCAAGATAGGCAAGGGGCAAGATAGGCAAGGGCCAAGATAGGCAAGGGCCAAGATAGGCAAGGGCCAAGATAGGCAAGGGCCAAGATAGGCAAGATGGGCAAGGCAGAGCAGAGCATACCGAGGGGCCATCGTCGCGGCCATTGGCCCCCAGCAGCTGTTGCCCTGGGCGATTGGTGACCCGCACACTGCGACCTGCGCGTGAGGAGAGGGGAGGGGAGGAGAAGGGGGGGGAGCAGTGAGCGTGGCATGGTCGCACCTGTTTTCCCGCACACTGCCATCTGCACATGTGGTGAGAGGAGGGGACGGAAGAGTGAGAGAGCAATGAGGCATGCGTGAAAACGTTGGGGCGACTTCATAATTGCAGTGAAGGAAATCAAGAAAACCGAGATTATCACTGCAATAATGAACAGGCACGCGTGAGCAAAGATGAACCCACACAAGGCTGAGGTATCTCACTGTTGATCTGCAGCTGTGGGTACGCAGGCCAGTACATGCGGTTGGCGGTTTTGTTGTTGAGCAGTACAAACAGACACACACGCATGCACACACACATGCATGCACGCACACACACATGCACACACACACACGCATGAACGTACACACGCATGCATGCACACATCCAGACACAAGGTAGAGGTATCTTACTGTTGATTTGCAGCTGTGGGTATGCAGGCCAGTGCATGCGGTTGGCAGTCTTGTCGTTAAGCAGCACACACCACACCTGTTGGCACGCAGTAATGGGTTTGTACAGTCATTCATCATAGCATGACATGCAAGCGAGGCATAAGAGGAGAAAAAACTATTCGGGCATTCATGGGGCAAAAGAAACATTTTGGGCGGTTGTAAAAAGAAAAAGGAGCGCATTCTGGGCCAAGTGTGTGAAGCAGTAAGAGAGAGTGGGTAAAAGCAAAGTCAATAAACACAAGCTAAGGTATCCTCAAGCAGAGGGAGAGAAAGAAAGCAATACAAACCTCCTTCCCAGCGTACTACAGAAGATTAACGAAGCTGCATGTACAGTTACAGTACCAGCTGATCAGGCTCACTAGTGGTGCGGGCAGCTCACCTGCAGGTAGTGGTGCGGGCGTCGAAGCAACGAGAGGTCGTGCGGGGTGAGAGTGAAATTGTGCTCCAGACGCTGCAGCACTTGGTTGCTGTGGGGGAGAAGGTGGAATGTGGGACGCAAGAAAGGGGGTAAGATAAGGGAAAGGGAACCACTCTGCAGGGCACAGCGAGAGGTCGTGCGGGGTGGGAGAGTGAGATTGTGCTCTAGTTGTTGCCGCACCTGGTTGCTGTGGGCAGAGAGAATGTGAGGTTCAGGAACGTTGGGAGGTAGGGGAGGGGAGGAGAGGAGTGAACATGAGAGTGGAAGTGTCCTCTTGTCGCTGCAGCCTGCAGCACTTGGTTGCTGTGGGCGGGGAGAAGGTGCGATTGTGGAAGGGAGGGAGGGGAGGGGAGGGGAGGGGAGGAGTGAACATGAGAGTGGGAGTGCCCTCTAGACACTGCACTGCAGCACCTCGTTGCTGTGGGAGGGAGGCAAGGGGGGGAGGGATGAGATAAGGTAACCACTCTGCGCTGCGGGCTCCACAGAGAGGGTTGATGCTGTAGGAAAGAAAGCAAAGAGGGGGATACGAAAAGGTAACCACTCTGTAGGCCACACAGCGAAAAGGGGTGAGAGTCAGGTGGCTCTATTCACTGCAACACCTGGTTTACTGCAAATGGGGAGAGTCGGAGCACGTAAGGGAGGTGTGGTGACAGGAGGGGAGTCAAGGAGGGCCCGAGTTGCCGACCTCACAATATGACACCACTGGCTACCCTCCCAATGTTTCGTATCACAGCGTGTGACCACACGCTGTTTCTCGTAACAGTGGTCACAGCGCATCACAGTTAGAGAGTAAACGAACCTCACTCCATCTCATGAAGGTTCAACCTCGAACCTCACACCATCTCCTTCATAGCACACTCACTCTCCGGGCACCTTCAACTAAGACACTCACTTGTCTCCGGGCAGGCGTATGAGCGCAGTTGGTGGCATCGGATTGGCCACAGGGACAGAAAACCTGACATCGGGCAGACCAGCAGCACAAGAGAGGCGAGGAGGGGAATGGGGTGGAGAAGAAAACAAGAACGAAACCAAAGGCGGCGGGTAAGGATGTTAGAAATGGAAAAGTTGTTAATTTCATGAAGAAAAGGATAGCATACATGGGATGGGATGGAAGAGAGGGTTCAAAGAGGAGGTGGTTAGGGGCAAAGTGGTGGTTGGAGGTTTGGGAGGTCGAACCACGTGGTTAAATGGACCAACCACAATCAAGGGAGGGACCATGGTGGTTCAGCCACCACCAATCAATCACCACCACCTAGCTTGCATCTAAGGGCTCCACCCCGAAAGGCGTGGATTCGCACCGCAAGCAAACACAAATGTACGCATGGCATGGCATGGCATGGCATGGCAGGCACAAGGAGGTATGATGGGAGTTCCTCCCCTGCAGTTTAGCTAAGTGTGTGACGGGTCTCCATCTCCTGCAGCTATTCAGCTATGAGCCGAACTTAACTGTCTCCCTCTCCTGCAGTTCACCTAAGAATCAGACATGCAAGTTTCTCAACTTCTCAACCTCCCTGCACCCCTTCGCCAAGAATGATGTGTATGCGTCTCCCTCCCCTGCAGTTTAGCTAACAGTCACACTTAGTGGTTCCTTCAGGCCATTCTGCAGAGCTCGCAGTATGGAGGGGCGTGGTGGGGCTATGACACGTAACAATTTCTCATTGCCTTTCAGAGGCACTTCTAGAATCCACATACCACCCAAAAGTCACACTTACGGGTCGCCCCAGGCCATTCTGCAGAGCTCCCAGTAGTGGTGTTCCGGGAGGGGCGGGTCAGGCTGGGGTGCTGCTGGGTTATTCCCTGTGAGAGGTGGGTTATCTGGCAGAATGAATGACGCACTTCATTTGCGTGGCAGCTGAGAGTCAATACACTTACGGGTCTCCTCTGGCCATGCGGCAGAGCTCGCAGTAGTGGTGTTCTGGGAGGGGAGGGTCGGGCTGGGGCGCTGCAGAGGTGTCTCCCGTGAGAGGCGGGTTCTCTGGCAGAATGACGCACTTCACATGCTGCCACACGCCACAGCCTTGGCCCTCGCACTGGGTGAGGAGGAAGGTGGAAAGGATATGGATAAGGAGGAAGGGGGAAAATGGGGTGGGGATGGGGGGGAAGGGGGGAGAGGGGAGAGAGGGGGTCAGAGGCGGGTTGTCTGGTAGAATCACGCACTTCACATGCTGCCACACGCCACAGCCCTGGCCCTCGCACTGGAAATGGTGGTGGGCCCAGGGAGGGAGGGGGGGAGAACAAGAATTGAATGGCTGCAGAGGTGTCTCCCGTGAGAGGCGGGTTCTCTGGTAGAATCACGCACTTCACATGCTGCCACACGCCACAGCTCTGGCCCTCGCACTTGGTGAGGAGGATGGGGGAAATGGGCATGGGGGAATGGGAAGAGAAAAGGGAAGGGGCACGGGCGTGAGAGGCGGGTTCTCAGGCAGAATCACCCACTTCACGTGCTGCCACACACCACAGCCCTAACCCTCGCACTTGGTGAGGAGGAAGGTGGGGAGTGATGTGATATGGTAAGGAGGAAGGGGAGAAATGGGGTGGGGAGAGGAGGAAGGGGGAGAGGGAGGTCAGAGGAGGGTTCTGTGGAAGAACCACACACTTCACATGCTGCCACACAGCACAGCCCTGGCACTCGCACTGGAAGGGTGGGAAGTGGTGGGTGGGGGGAAGGGGAAACGTAAGGGCAAGAGGGGACAGAGGCGTTATAGACACGACTTTTGAGGCGCCTCAAAGGTAAGGGCAAGAGGGGACAGAGGCGTTATAGACACGACTTTTGAGGCGCCTCAAAGGTAAGGGCAAGAGGGGACAGAGGCGTTATAGACACGACTTTTGAGGCGCCTCAAAGGTAAGGGCAAGAGGGGACAGAGGCGTTATAGACACGACTTTTGAGGCGCCTCAAAGGTAAGGGCAAGAGGGAACAGAGGCGTTATAGACACGACTTTTGAGGCGCCTCAAAGGTAAGGGCAAGAGGGGACAGAGGCGTTATAGACACGACTTTTGAGGCGCCTCAAAGGTAAGAGCAAGAGGGGACAGAGGCGTTATAGACACGAACACACCACCCACCTACCTCCACTTTTGCATTGTTTATATACAGGCACGTCCCACCACCACAGAACATCCTCAGTCCACCCACCTGAATCATAGTCTTCCCGTTGTCAAAGTTCCGTAAACAAACACACCGAATCACCTCCGCCTGCTGCTGCTGCTGCCCGTACACATTCCCCCTTCCCAATGCCCTCTTACTAGACCTCCCTCCTCCCCCTTGCTCGGCCTTTACTTCCCTCGACGACCCATGCCCGTGCCCATGCCCGTGCCCATGCGCATGTCTACTTTGCTGCTGCTGCTGGTGCTGCTGCTGATTGGTTGTGGTGGTGTTGCTGCTGCTGCTGAGGGGAAGCAAAGCCTCCATCAGGAGCCATATTCCCCTCTTCCCCTGCTCTCGCCTCTGCCCTACTAACTGTCTCTACCCTAGCACCTGTGTCTGCCCTCACAGCTGCTTCTGCACCTCCGTCCCCCCTCTCCTCGCCCTCCCCCTCAACCCTATCCGCCCTCTCCTCGCGTCTCCTCTGTGGCTGCACTGGGGAGGCGACTGGTGTGTCCACCTGCTGCCCAGTGCTTCGCAGCGACCTGCAAGGGGTTCCACGGCATGAGCATGGGAGGATGGGGGATGGACGGGGACAGAATGATGAGAGGAACGCAAGGCATCTCCTTTCCCCTCCGCTGCGGCTGCACTGGAAAGGCGACGGGCGTGTCGCCCTGCCCTGTGCTTCGCAGAGACCTGAAAGGGGGTTCCAAAACATGAGCATGTGAGGATGGGGGGAACGGTGTGAAGGGAGGAAAAAAACAAAGCATCTCCTCCCGCCTCCTATGGGACTGCACTGGAGAGACGACGGGTATGCCCCCCTGCTGTCCAGTGCTTTGTAGAGACCTGAAGAGTGGCTGCAGAAGGAAGGGAGTAACAAAACAAGGCATCTCCTCTCGCCTCCTCTGATGCTGCACTGGGGAGGTGAGAGGCATGTCCTTCTGCCCAGTGCTTCGCAACGCAACGACCTGCAAGGGGATAAGATGGGAATGGCACGAGAATGGGAGGATGGGGGATGGTATGATGGGAGGAACGAAACAACGCCTCCTCTGAGACTCCACTGGGGAGGTGAGATGAGAGGCATATGTCCTTGTGCCCAGTGCTTCGCAATGACCTGCGAGTGGATAAGATGGGAAATGAGAACGGAAGGGGAGTGGGGGTGCATAAGCAGGAGCCGCATCTGTCCCCCTCACACGCAACTCTCTCACACGCACCCCACTTAAGCACACCTCTCTCCCTTCCACGCCACTTTACCTGTAAGTTTCTTGAATGAACTCGGCTACTTGCGCAGGAGTAACGGCGGGCGGGCTACTCTCACATGCACGTCCCTCAGATGGGCCGCCCCCACATGCGATGCATCATGCAATGCAACCTCCCCAACAACCACATGCACCTCCCTCCCCCACATGCACCTCCCTCCCCCTCATGCACCTCCCTCCCCCGCATGCACCTCCTGACATTTAAGTCTCTCACACGCCACTCTACCTGTACGTCTCTCACTCACGCGCACCTCCCTCACATGTACCTCCCGCACACACCACTCTACGCCGCTCTACCTGTACGTGTCTTGAATGAACTCGGCTACTTGCGTGGGAGTGATGGTGGGCACGCCTGCAAGGAGGACACGGGGTATGAAAGGACGGACGGAAAGGGGGAAGGAAAGATGCGGAAAGGGGAAGACTTGGAGGGATGAGCGGAGAGAGATGGATGCACGTTAGAGTTGACATGATGATGAGCTTGGGTCTGGGAGTAAAGAATGGAGAGGGGCAGATGAGCGGAGGGAGATAGGCTTTAAGAGATGAAATGTTCGCAATTGGAGGACCGATAGGAGTGTATGAGACGGCTAGGGCCGGCCACATGGCAGGGTTGCTTGCAGAGGAAGGCGAAACCAAAGAGCTTCTGTTGAGATACGAAGATGCAACCATGGCTGCTAAAGGAGGAAAACAACTCACATCCATTGGAGGGAGGGAGGAGGTTTTTGAGGCGCCTCAGAATTCGTTCGAGGGAGGAGGAGCACTTACGGCCGTTGAAGGGAACAGATGGGGATGATAAGAGAGCTTCGATTCGATCCACCAACACCTGTTCCCCGTGGCATGTGTTGTGAGGCATGTGAGGCATGTGAGGCATATGATGCATGGGAGGCATGTGATGCATGGGAGGCATGTGATGCATGGGAGGTATGTGATGCATGGGAGGTATGTGATGCATGGAAGGCATGCGAGGCATGTGGGGCATGGGAGGCATGTAAGGCATGTGAGGCATGTGGGGCATGGGAGGCATGTGGGGCATGCTCCTAAAAAAGTTGCTACTGATTCTGAGGACGCTGCTACTGATTCTGAGGGCGCTGCTCTGATTCTGAGGACGCTGCTACTGATGCCTGAAGACCCTGCTACTAATGCCTGAGGAACCCTGCTTGCTACTGTTAGACTTGCTGCTGCACTGCACCGTTCTGCACCCTTCAGGTCGCCAGTCACTGCTAGAAGGTGAATCATGTCAGCCACACACAGCCAGGACCGAATGCCGCAAAATGGATCTTTCTTGTGCTTCTTACAATGCTGTGTTGCTTGTTTTCCGCTGTCGTTCGTTCCACTAGCAGGTCACACTGCAAGAAGGTGAGTTATGTTAGGACCCCAAACCCCAACAGCATTCCCGCTGCTGCCGCTGACTATGCCACTTTCTTCTTACACTGCTGTGCTGCTTGCCGCCTTGAGTCCACTAGCAGGTCACACTGCAAGAAGGTGAGTTATGTCAGGACCATACAACACTCCCCTAAGCAGACACTGACTAATCAACTTTCCTCCTTACACTGCTGCTGATGTCACTGCAGCCACTGCAGCCAGTGCTGTTACTGCTGGCACTGCTGCCACTGCAGCCACTGCTGTCACTGTCGACACTCCTGTCACGGCAGCCAATGCTGTTACTGTCGACACTGCTGTCACGGCAGCCAATGCTGCCCCCTTGAGCCCAACATCAGTCACTGCCAGAAGGTGTTTCAAGTCAGGAAGCAACAGCACATCCCCATACATGCAGAGCATACCATGCCGCCTTCAACTTCCTTACCACCCTCACTGGCTGCCGCTGCTCTGCGAACCAGCCCGCTCTTTCTTCGCTAAGACCTCCAATATCCCCGCTATAGAGCTGATGGGGGCGACTGACCTGCTTCTTGCCGGATTTGGACAGGCCT